AAAATTATATGGCATCATGGAAAACATTTTTGCAGGGTTTTCTACACAATATTTATATAAAATCTGAACTATTAATCTCAGTTCATATTCCAATAATAAAAATTATAAAGCTACCATTTGTTGGGAATATTTCCTGTCTAACAGATTAGAGAGATTGGATTTACTATCTGTATAAAGATTTTTTAAAAATCAGACTTTATATTTTTCCCTGTTGCTAGGTACCATGAGAGTATCAGATCATTCAGATCATTCACTGAATTGTCACAATCAGAGTGATAATAGAAGTGTTATTTATTCTATGGAAACATTTTGCAATGAAGACTGTCCTCCTACTACACTGACTGGTAATATTACATACAATACAAAATATTATATTGGGCGGAAAAAATTGGTCAGATATAATGTTTCATTATATTATTCTGCTTTGAGAAAAGATGATAATGGCCATATGTTTGATTATACGCTATTGTCTGATGAAAATACATTTGATATTAATCTTTTTAGGTATTGCTGAAGAATTTATTACCACATTGTTTTACTTCTACAGAAGAATGAGTGAACTTAATATTACTAATACTGAATATGCTCTGCTTGCAGCAACAACTGTGTTTTTTTCAGGTAAAAACCATTCAGAAGAAAATATTTGGATTAAGATTGGCAATCAGATCATGATGTCTGTGGCTATTATATTATTCACTGATGCCAAATGTTAACAATTTTATTTTGACAAAATTTTTTCTTCGAGAGAATTCTCTTCAGCTTATGAACTTGCTGTAATTTCTTGCATCTTAAAAAAAAGCCTTCTTGACCTCTAATCCCTTTCAGCTATTTTCCCATTTCTCTGTTCTACTCTACAGAAAAAAAAAATTTTTGTCTGTACTCCTTCCTTCATTTATCTCATCTCATTTGCTCCTGAACCCACTGCAGTCAGAGTTTGTCCCCTTCTTTCCATTCTACCATAATTTGTCAAAGCTCTTCAGTAATCTGGCATTGCTGATTCCAGTTTTCAATTCTTAGTCCTCAGCTAAGCTCAATTCTTGACCCATCAGCTTCATCTGGCAGAGCAGATCACTTCTTCTCTCTTGGAAAACTTTCATCACTTGGCTTCTGTTGATCACTCCCTCCTTGTAGACACTCTTTTCCCCCACCTGATTTCCAGGACATCACACTCTCTTGATTTTCCTCCTCAGTGGCTGAGATTTCCATCTCCTTTGTTAATTCCTCCTCATCTCCCACACTGATAAATGTTAAGAGTGACCTAGGGCTCAGTTCTCTTTTCTTCTACACTTACTTCCTTTGAAATTTCATCCTCTCTCATGGCTTTAAACACCATCCACATGTTGACAAGTCCCAAAGTTATATAGCAACTTGGACTGTTCCCCTAGGCTCCACTAAATAGCCTACTCAAGATTTCAACTTGTAGTAGGTGTATCAAATTTAACATGTCCCAAGGTGAACTCCTGATCTCTCCCTTAATTCTTCTATATTCTTCCTCCATGTTTACTAAACGGCATCTCCATCCTTCAGGTTACACAAGCCAAAATTTGTGAAGTCATCCTTCACTACTTTCTTTCTCTTATACCCTATCAAATAGGCAACACCTCCTGTTGGCTCTAGCCTCAAAATATATCCAGAACTCAACCACTTCTTACTGTCTCTGTTCCTGCCACCCTAATTCAAACTAGTATCCTTTTTTGCTTTCCTGTTTCTGCCCTTGCCTCCCCAGAGTCTATTCTCTATATAGTAGCCAGAGTTGTTCTTTTGAAACGTAAGCTAGATCATTTCATTTCTCTGCTCATAATCCTTTCATGGTTTCCTGTTCTACACAGATTAAAGCCCAATTCTTTCTATTATTGCCTACTACTGTCCCTTTTGCTCACATCACCACAGCCACATTACTTTTGATACATATGTTACTTGAGAATGTCAAGCTGGCTCCTGCCACAGGTTGTCTTGTATTTGACAAATATGCTTGGAAAGCTCCCCAGGTAGTTACATGCCGCCCTCCTTCATCTCAGATCTCTGTTAGATGTCATCTTACCTCTGATTATCCTTTTAAAAATAGCCTCTGCCCTTCCACCCTGAATTCTTATTCTTTTCTGTTTTTCTCTATAACACTTATCATTGTCATATTATATTTTTATTTAAAATGTGTATATATCTCTTTTCTCACCCACTCCTCCCAAACTCAGGATATAAGCTTAAAGAGGGCAGGAAACTGTGTCTGTTATGTTCGCTGCTATATCTCCACCACAATGCCTGGATAAATAATTGCTGCCTAACCATTAAGAAATTCTTGGTTGGTTCTTATATTTTATAACTAGGTACTTAAGAAACTTGCCTTTTCCTTACTGTTGATCTTGAGGAAATTAATCTTTTTAAGTTTCACGTAAGCTTGAAACTTGCTCTTATATTCTTACAACCACTTACTGACCCTTCTCTTCCTATTTGACTTTACTTCTCTACCTCATAGAGTACTATGAAGATTAAATAAGATATTGCTTGAAGTAAGTTACTTAGCATGATATCTTGCATATATTAAGGGTTCGGAAAATATTTGCTATTTTTATTATCTACAAACTGTATTGTTTTAAATTAATTATCTTCTACTACTTTCCAGTATTCATTAAGATATATATGATGATGTTTTTCAGATCGTCCACACCTTAAAAATAAGCAACATGTGGAAAATATACAAGAACCGATTTTACAAATTTTGTACAAATATTCAAAAATTTATCATCCAGAAGACCCACAGCATTTTGCTCGCCTCATAGGGAGGCTCACTGAACTGAGAACACTGAATCACAACTACTCAGAAATACTTAGCACTTGGAAAGCAAAGGACCCCAAATTGGCTAGTTTACTCTCAGAGAAATGGAATTTGTATTCACATTGTTGAAATTTAGAATGTTGTTGTGGTTTGCCTTAAAACTTTCTAATTCTAGATCGTTGACTCTATCATCATAGGATGACTGATTTGAAAAACAAACAGGATTGCTAGGTTACCAATATATCACCATAAAATGGACATCATCAGTGCTCATCAAATTTTGTGGGATATAGGATGAACCACTAGAGGGACATCTAGGATTCTTTTCAAGATTTGACTCTAAAGCAGCAATGACTATTGTTACTGCATGGTTCCTTCAAAAGGGAATAATGCTAAACAGAGTTCTTATCTGAAGAAACTCTACTTTTTTCCTTTAGTAGAAAAATGGAATGAAAATATACAGATTATAGACATGAGAAAGGCTATCTAGTGGAAACAATTGTAATTAGAATAAAGGTAGTTTGTGACCCTCATTAATTAGGCCAGATTGATGGATAAAGAACATTTTAAATTTATTCCTGTTATAGCATTTTATGAATTATTAAAGAGGAACAAAACTTTGTTCAACTCTTACCTTTTCTTAATGTTGTTAAAAAAAGAAATCTTTTTAAGTCCACATTTTAAAAATCTGTGATGGCCAGATATTGAAAAAGTTTAAAATGACAAATCATTAAAATGTTTTAACATGCATTGGGAAATTTAGCACAATTTACTGCTCATTCTGGTAGACAATATTTTGACATTTTTGTCAATATGCCTTTTGTAGAAAAAATGAAGTTCTTAAAAACTGAAATCTTTCCACAAATATTTTAATCCTTCTAAAGATAGGAAGGTTATTTAGTAAGAATAAATTTCATGTGAAATGCATGAAATTGAGAAATTCTATGGTGGCACTATTGTTTTGAAAGACTGGGTGTAAGTAAATAAAATACTGTGAATTTAAGTTAATTTAATACTAGAAGTCGCATTTTGGTTTTCAAGAAAGAAAAAAAAGACTGTAGTTCAATTTTTTTAGTTATAAAACTTAAAAAAACTGGAATATTGAATTTATATCCTCAACTTCAAGAAGATCTTATTTAAATTCATTAATTATTGCCCCCACGGCGCATCTTGGGCATAAACCTGGAATCATCTCTTGGAGGGAATATTTTGTCTTTTTTAGGGTATCTAGACTGTTTCCTTAAAATGTAAAATGAAGGACTTAACCTGGATCAAAAATTTTTAAATTTTAGCAGTAACTCTTATGTCTCATAGGTTAACTTTATACAAAATTGGTTATTTAAAAATATTACTTAAGCCCTTTGGAAATCAATTATAGTACCTGGAGAAGTTTGACTACAAAGTCAAATGTGTTCAAAATGGAACTCGTTATCTTATTGCTCAAACCTAGGTACTCAGTACCACAATATTTATCGTATTTTCTCGCCCCAGCTTGAAGCCAAGCAGTGAGACTTCTTTCACGGCTTACTATTAAAAAACAGCCATCAAATAATCCTATTAATTTTACTTCCTAAATATCTTTTACGTTTGATGCCTCTTCATCTCCATTGCCACTGTCACGGCTCAGCTCTTCACACCTTACCCAGCCTATTAAAACTGTCTCCCAAACTCCAGTCCGATATGCCCGCCTGAGCCATTTGTCATAACGACAGATTTTCTTCCGAACTTGATCTTGCTTCCCTTTCTACTCAGACCTCTTCAAGATCCCCATCCATAAAGGCTAAAATCCACAAGCCTCTGGAAGGCCTCATATCTGCCGAATCTGCAGTCTCATCTCTTGCTGTTTTCCCACCTCTCCTCAACACACCGACGCCACACTACTTGGACTCTCTCTTGTACTCATCTCGCTCACAACCACAGGGCCTTCGCCTACCTTCCCTCAGTCAGGAATTCCCTTTCCCCACTGACTATGTAGCCCACTCTCTCTAGTCACTCTCTTATTCTCGAGGGAAGCCGTCAGAGAAGCCTAACACCTCTGTGTAGCCTCTCCTGACTCCCCAGGCCGCAGCAAGCGCCACTTCCCCTGTGTCCTAACCACCCTTTCAAAAGTACCACCTATAAATGATTACACCTGGCTATAATTATCTGCCCGTCTGTTTCTTCCCTAAGACTGAACTCTTGGACGACAGAAATGGATTTTTCACTCTCCGCTCCAATCTACCGCAGCACTTGTTAGTTTTCCTTGCATTCTCTGACAATAGCAGAAGCTTAAAGAACGTCTACGCGGAGGAGAAACAGAATCCCGCGAAGAATTGTTACCAACGTAAAGGAAAATCTCGCGAGAGTCGGGAGCCGGGCAAACTCTCGCGGCTGACGGTTATTTAGCCGTTGAACAGCCGTGCACCCCGCCTTTCCTGGCTGGCCGCTGAGGTGGAGCGATTCCCGCCTTTTCTGAGGTTCGGAGGCAGAAGCTCTAATTGATTCTTTTTGCTGTCCTAATAGACAGCAGGTAGCAGTTCGCGTGGGCACCGAGTCCATGGTTTCCCCCTGAATCTTGAAAGGTAAGGGCAGGTGTACTGAATTCCTTTCTTGACGACGGAACCCGGAGCTGGGCAATGATTTGATTCGATTCCGCACCTGCAGCGCTTGGCCAGCGGCCCCACTCCAGCCCCCCACCCCCGAACACCTCCTCGGTAGCCGGTAGCCCTCTAAGAACTCACGGTACGTCTCGCGGCTGGGTGATGCAATTTACCAGGGCTGGTGGAGGTAGAGCTTTCTTTTCGGGCTGTCACAGTGATGATACCTCGGAGTTTCTGGCTTGTCTAGGTCGCCAGCGTGGCCATTGGTGGTGGTAGATGGTGGGAACAACGGCGGGGTGTTTTTACTTTGACCGCCCAGTGATGTGACGCTGCAGACTCAACAGTGTAGCAGAGGTTACTCCTGCTCCTTTACATAGCATTTGTTATACAGACATCGCCTTTTAAAATAAAGCATAAAGAGTGTATTAATGAAACAATATAAAAACACTTTTTCCCCCCTGCCTTCTGGGGCAATAGATAATTACAACTGGAAGAGAGAAAATGGAAAAGCAAAAGCCTTTTAAATTGTTTGTACCACCAAGATTAAGTAGCAGTCAAGTATCTGCAGTGAAACCTCAGAGTTTGGGAGGAGATTCTAATTTCTTCAAGGTAAATTTGCATATGAATCTTGATTTGACTATTCTTCAGGTAAGGAGACACCATGTACTTTCTTACTGGTGTTATTTTATAATTTTTTCCCCCAGCAAATGTGGCCTGGTTTACCCAAGAATTTTAAACAAATTTATTTAAAATTAAAAAAAAAATTTAAATCCAGTTTACTCAACAGTGTTATATTAGCTACAGGTGTACAATATAGTGATTTCATACTTCCATACATCGCCCAGTGCTTACCACCAGAAGGGCCCTCCTTAATCCCCATCACCTATTTCACCCACCCTTCTCCCCTTTGGTAACCATCAGTTAGTTCTCTATAGTTAAGAGTATGTTTCTCGGTTTGTCTCTTCTTCCCCCCACCCCCATGATTGTTTATTTTATTTCTTTTTTTGTTTTGTTTTGTTTCTTAAATTTCACATAGGAGTGAAATCACATGGTATTTGTCTTTTTCTGACTGACTAATTTTACTTAGGATAATACACTCTAGCTCCATCCATGTCATTGCAAATGGCAAGATTTCATTCTTTTTTTATGGGTGAGTAATATCCCATGGTATATATACACCTCATCTCCTATAACCATTCATCAGTCGATGGACACTTGGGCTGCTTCCATAATTTGACTATTGTAAATAATGCTACAATAAACACAGGGGTCATACATCTTTTCAAATTAGTGTTGGGTAAATACCCAGTAGTGGAGTTGCTGGATCGTAGGGGAGTTCTATTTTTAATTTTTTCAGGAACTCTATACTGTTTTCCAGAGTGGCTGCACCAGTTTGCATTCCCACCAGCAGTTCATGAGAGATCCTTTTTCTCCACATCCTTGTCAATACTTGTTTCTTGTGTTTTTCATTTTAGCCATTCTGACAGGTGTGAGGTGATATCTCATTGTGGTTTTAATTTGCATTTCCCTGATGATGAGTGATGTTGAGCATCTTTTCATGTGTGTGTTGGCCATCTGGATATCTTCTTTGGATAAATGTCTATTCTTGTCTTCTCATTTTTCAATTGAATTATTTGTGTTTTGGGTGTTGAATTTTATAAATTCTTTATATATTTTGGATACTAATCCTTTATTGGATATGTCCTTTGCAAGTATCTTCTCTCATTCAGTAGGTTGTTTTTAGTTTTGTTGATTGTTTCCTTCACTGTGCAGAAGTTTTTATCTTGAGGAAGTCCCAATAGTTCATTTTTGCTTTTGTTTCCCTTGACTCAGGAGACCTATCTAGAAAAATGTGGTTATGGCCGATGTCAGAGAAATTACTGCCTGTGCTTTCTTCCAGGATTTTTATTGCCCAAGAATTTTGAATAGTATTGCCTCGAATGAATAAGGAGCATACTTAATGTTTGTGAGCATCGTTCATTTAAAAAAATAATCACCGCCTCTGTAGAACTCTGGATACATAATGAGTCCTGCTTATTTGAATCCTCCCTCTGTCCTTAAATGACTTGAGGCAATTTGTAAGACATATACAATGAAATAGCAAGATACAAAAACATATTAAGAGAATATTAGGGTCAAGGAAAAAATAAGAAAATTTGGACAAATATGTTACCATACTGGTAAAAATTAGTGTCTGACTAAGCTTAAAATTTGGCTTTGAGCCTCCTGGTTGCCAGGATAAAAAGAGAAATTCACTTATATAACAGAGTTCTTATCAGAAAGGAGGAATTATACCAAGTTTCTTAGTTTAAACAGCTTTTACTGCTAAATTATTTTTAAAATTTCTCTGTGGAAGTTTATATTGGAGATGGAATGAAGCAATGAATATTTCAATTTTACATGCTGTAGAAAAATTCCTATGGTCTGTATAGCTAAGAGTATAATATTAAAATGCTATTCAGTGAAGACAACTCTCAGTTTTATTAAGGGAAAGATCATAATGAAATTGAAGAAAACTAATATATTAAGCTACTAATTAAAATTACAATTTTTCTTGAATACTTACAAAGCATATATTTTTTGCTTTTTTACATAACAAAAACCACTTGATATTTTAAATATTATATATACCTTAAAGGATTTACAATTGAAGTCACTTCTTTAAGCAGATGCATGTTACATATATAATTACATATTACACTGCTAGTTATCAGAGTGGTTTGGAACAGTATGTTTAAGAACTTCTTTGTGTTTCTAGAGTTTCAACAAATATATTGAAGATGATTTTAGTTTTCCATTTGCAATGACTAATCTCTCCAAAAATGGGGAAAACATTGATTCAGGTAAGAGACTGGAAAAGCAATGTATCACTATATATAGAAGTACTTTTTACATACACATTGCTAGATATTGAAAATATAAGTGTTATATTGAGAGCCATGACATTAAAGTTAGATATAATACTTAATATAAAAAAATAAGATGTTGGCGTATTTAATACCAGTTGTCTTTTATCTTGCAGATCCTGCTTTACAAAAAGTTAAGTTTTTGCCCATGCTTGAACAGGTCAGTTAAGTATAGGGTACATAGATATAATCTGCTTAGGTATTGAGTTGCTTGTTTGATAAAGGAAAAAAATTCTTGTTGGATTATTAGTCGTCAGTACTTAATTGCTACTATTTGGAAACTCTCATCAGAAGTATTTTCTTACAGGAAACACTTACTCATTTTTTTTAGGTTGATAATTCTGACAGTTGTCCCTACCAGGAAGGACTAAAAGACTCTGATTTTGAGGTCAGAAGATTTCCCATCTATATTAAATTTCTTGTAATTGGAGTATCATTTATTATTGTTTGATTATCTCTTCCTTTTTGAAGCTTCTAAAGGATTGAAATTTGGTTAATGTTTTAAGTTCTATCCTTTATTTTTTATTTTTTAAAAAGATTTTATTTATTATTTGACACAGAGAGAGAACCCAGCAGGGGGAGCAGCAAAGGGAGAGGGAGAGGGAGAGGGAGAAGCATGTGGGGCTGATGTGGGGCTTGATCCCAGGACCCTGGGATCGCTTAACGACTGAGCCACCCAGGTGCCCAAGTTCTATTCTTTAAAACCATTTTTCCCCCTTTGTTTTTCTTTTAAAGTTGCTGAAACACTAGGCTTCTGCATTTTCCTGGGTTATGCAAGCATCCATTCTTTCGGGGCAATTTAATTTTAAACTACAGAGAGCAAGAATAGAAGAGGGAATGTGGATACAAGTGAAAAGGCTGAGACTCAAACCACTATTTTACAAACAATCCTTTAATTAATAAGTATGATTGTTTGGCTCATTTGCTGTCTAAAGAATTTATATAACTTGCGGTACTTTTTATTTTGGTTATAAAAAATCATTCTTACTTATGGCACGTAGATGTCTTGAAAACAAAAAAGAGGCACGCCTTGGCGGCTCAGTCAGTTAAGGGTCTGCCTTTGGCTCAGGTCATGATCTCAGGGTCCTGGGATGGAGCCTCACATCACATCAGGCTCCCTGCTCAGTGGGGAATTTGCTTCTCCCTCTGCCCCTCCTCCCCCTTGTGCTAGCTTGCGCTCTCTCTCTCCCAAAAAACAAAACAGAAATTCTAGGGCACCTGGCTGGCTCAGTTGGTAGAGCATGAGACTCTTGAGTTCAAGACCCATTTTGGGCATGAGTCTACTTAAAAAAAAAAAAAAAAAAAAAAAAAAAAAAAATTCCATGGCTTGATAAAGTGCTGTATGTCTGTTGCAGTGATTATAAATGTATCACAGAATTTAAAAATATGGAACTTATGTATTTTGATAACAAAGAGCTATCAGCAAGCAGAAATTTGTGATTTTAAAAAATATAAACTGGCATTTACCTTATAATGTTGAAATAGATAATGCAGAAAATCCAGGTAAAAGCTAAATAAAACTTCAGAATAAATGAAAGCTAGATCTTGTGTTAACAATTTTTTGTCATTATATTTTAAAATTCATGTCCTTTAGGTAATCTTCAAACTGTATAACCAAAATGTTTCAAGGCCATTGTAAAAATTTATAGATATCATGTAGAGTGACTTATTTTAGCTTTCAACCAGTCAGATTCTCTCATTGACTAAACTATTTCCAATATCTGGCTTAGGTATATTTTCAAGGTATTAGATTTTATTCAGTAGGGTTTAACTTAGTCAAGTGACCAGTAACTTTAGTGAAGTAGCTAATACTGCTAATAACTTTTAAAGAGTTAATGTAGTTTTCAGGATGCTATTAGGGCATAAATTGAGGCGAGACTTGTTCTCAACTATTAAGATACTTTATTACTCATAGATATTTTAAATAGGCAGCTGTAGCTTTTAATTGTTCAAAATTTTAGTCTAACCACTCTTTGAAACCTATTTATCTCAACAGAATTCAGAGCCAATGAGCAGACTATATTCAAAACTGTATAAGGAGGCTGAAAAGATCAAGAAGTGGAAAGTGAATGTAGAATCTGAATTGAAGCAGAAAGAAAATAAGTTGCAAGAAAATAGAAAGATAATTGAAGCACAGCGGAAAGCCATTCAGGAACTACAGGTATAATGAGATTTGGAATTGAAAATGTAGTGTAGCAGATTTTATCATACTACTTTTAAAATAGAGTTTTTCAGTGATGTGGATTTTAAGGACAGTGGTTTTTGAATTTTTACTGATACTGTGTTTCAACTTTAGGATGAGAACAGAGGACAAGTTGCACAAAGCTTAGTGTAAATGACTAGGGAAATAAATTACTTTAGATAAAGATTGATTTAATGATTCTAATTATAAACTTTTAATTTTTATTAATTCCTATTACTGATGATGTTTCATATAAATGTCTTTTATTAATTAGAATATGACATTTATGGATTTTATATTTGGAACTATTTAGCTTCAGTTTTGTGGCCGAGTGAAAGAAAGATGTTGAGAAAATGAAACATTGGGTTAGGACAAAGATAAAACATTTAAAAATGCTTAGGGAAGATAATATTACATTAAAATATTGTTGGATACTTTTTGGATATGATTCAGCAAACTTGATTTTAGATCTATGAAAGTGAGATCCATATTTTTATGGGAAATCCATAAGCTAATAACTTTGACACAAAAGTTTTGTGTGTGCAAAGAATTCTTATACTTCTTAGTTAGCAAAGAAATGCTGCTTAATGATTGTACTCTTTATTTTGTTAAGCAAAATGTGATGAACTGTTCTTTTTGTTTTGTAAATTAGTTTGAAAATGAAAAAGTAAGTTTGAAATTAGAAGAAGGAATTCAAGAAAATAAAGATTTAATAAAAGAGTAAGTAATAATTTAATGAATTTGTTCTTTCTAAATTTATTCCAGATTTATTAAAATGATTTCCAGAAATTTATTGAACTTAGTATTCTGTTATGTAATATTAACTTATATATAGAATTCTACCTGGGTACTGTGGAAGAAGGAAGAAATACTTATTTTATGTTCTTGTATTTGGCAAACAGTGGTCACTGACTAATAATTTCTCACTTTTTAAAATGTCAGGCAGGAGAAAAACCATTATTTGGTATCAATAGGTATCTGATAAAAAATCCTGTATCTACAACTGCCTATGTATATTGTTTACCTTTCTGTTTGTTGCAACATTTTAGGTGCAGCATTTGTAAAATAGTGCTCAATTTAGTTACAAGGTAATTCTTACTCTCAAATTCCTGTTTTTGTCAGTGGCCTAATGATTCTTCCATTAATGTTAGCTTAAAATTTTAGTGTCCTCTTTAGCTTTTCCTTTCCTTTGTTCTAGGCAATAGCTAAGCCTTATTTTATACCCTGATTACCTCATTCAGATTATATCATGTAGAATTTAATAGAAAAATGTAGTTGTTTATTTCATCTGCCAAGTAAATATTGAATAGTTAGAATGTAATGTATGGGTCCCTGAAGAGTGCAAAATTTATTTATTCCTACATGTTTAAGTTAAACATCATGGCTTTAGAAGACCTATCACTTTGTCAGTGAAGTTGCTGATAAATGAAAAAGGCTCTTAAAACAGATTGTTTTAGTCTAATTGAAAGACAACCTGTGGGGGTGCCTGGCTGGCTTAATTGGAAGAGCATGTGACTCTTAATCTCCAGGTAGTGAATTTGAGCCTAATATTGGGGTTAGAGATTACTTAATTAAAAAAAGACAACCTATGGCTTCCCAGATAAAATTCAAATGCTAAACCTCAATTTTTTCCCCTGCCTAATTGAGGTTTGGTTATTAGGGAGAAGGGAGAGAGAAGAGAAAGTTTCTAACATTGTGTGCCTATTGTATATTTGGTACTTATGGTCACTTTTGTATGGGTATATGATTGTTTCTATAGTATCTTATAGGACATCTAAAGCCTACTGTAGCCCTAATACCAGTATTTGATAGCTTGTGAGCTTTCTTAAGACTGCTGTTGCCTCCACTGACAAGTACACTTGAATTTTTGTTAATACTGTGACTGTTTAGTGACATAGTATAGTTTAAGGTAGTGTAGTGTGACATAATATAGAATTTATGCCATTTCTTTGAGGTGAGAGGGAGTGCATTTATTTTGGGCATGATTTCCTTCTATTTTAAGCAGTTTCAGTTGTGTGTCCGTTTTGGCCTCAAATACTGAATTATCAATTGTCATCTGAAGGAACCTAACATTAGGTAAGAGCTTTGTCAAAATATAGGTGAGAAACAAAGTTAAGGTAGAGTGACTTGATTATTGGATGACAGATTTGATATAAAGTTGCTCAGGACCAGCTCATTCACTGATCATGACTTTCTAAAAAGGATGTAGATTTTAAAGAGACTGGGTATTTCAAAACCATACGCCTGGCCTGTAATAGAAATTTGAGCAAGAATGGACACTTTGGTTTATTGACATTTTTGAGCAGGAAAAGAGTTTTGAGATAATTTAGATAATTTTGGAGGCATTTTTTTTTTGAATGGAGCAGGACCTTAAATACCCGATTTCCACCATTAGATGTAATAATAGTCTCAATTTTCAAATTTTAGTAGTCAAACCTGAAGCATCTACAATTACATATTTTCAGAAATACCCTTAAAAAGCAACATTTGATTTTTGTTAGACTCCTAGCTGGGATTTGTTTAAGTAATTTGATGAATTAAACCTGTCAAGCCCTGTAGCATGCATATGATGGTGGTTGTTGTCAGAGAAGGCTTTCTAAAGATGAGGATGTCTGAAGGATGAATAGGAGTTAGCCAGGAGGAGAATTAGAGGTTGCTACTCTAGCATTTCATGACATGCTAAGGAGTTTTGATTTTTATGTTGAAGTGGAGGTGGAGGGATAGGGGTTGCAGAGGGGTGGGCTGAAGAAAGAAAGACTGAGTGGTTATAGATATGGCTCCCTTCAACAAGAACAGCTTTAAGTATAATTTAAAATCTTGTGTATCCAGTTAAGATTTCATTTTGAAAAAGGATTTTGGTTCTAGGGGAAAAAAAGTTTGAAAATTGCTGCAGATGGCCATTTGGAAGCCAGTGAAGAGTTTTAAGAATTCTAAAATTGAGACATTGTGAGAACATAGTAGACTTGAATAAATATTTTTTTGATTGGATGATTGCTTGTATATGGAGTATATGGCTGGTTTTATGTCAGGTTGTGCTGTTCAAAGGGTCTTTGTGGTTTAGGGAACATATTGCTAAAGGGACTTTTGTCCTCTACCCCTCACCATAAATTAACAGGAAAAGGCTGAAAATGTTTTTCAAATTGTAATTGAAGAATTAGATTTATGGTCACTTGTTTTGATTTTTACAAAACCAGTAACAAAAAAGTCCCTCTCTAGACCAGTGGTTCTTAAGTTTTAGCAAGCATCAGAATTAACTGCAGAGCTTGTTAAAACATATACTGTTGTCCTCTGCCCCCTTACCAGAATTTTCTGATTCAGTGGAGTAGGGCTTCAGAATTTGAGCTTTTAACAAGTGATGTGGATGTTGCTGGTTCAAGAATCATCTTTTGGGAACTACTGCTCTGTACTAGAGAACAGTCTTAGGCTTTGAAATCCAAACCAAACCACCCTTTCTCTGACTGGCTTATTTCACTTAACATTATACCCTCTAGATCCATCCATGTTGTTGCAAATGGCAAAATTTCATTCTTTTTTATGGCTGAATAATATTCCAGTGTGTGTGTGTGTGTACATATATGTATATATGTATATATTGTATTGCATTGACTCTGTAAATTGTTTTGGGTAGTGAGATATATATATATATATATATATATATATATATATATATACACACACATACACACACACACCACATCTTCTTTATCCATTCATCCATCATCACACACTTGGGCTGCTTCCATAATTTGGTTATTGTATATAATGCTGCAATAGGAGTGCATATATCCCTTCAAATTAGTGTTTTCATATTCTTTGGGTAAACTGGGTCATAGGGTAGTTCTATTTTTAAATTTTTTGAGCAACTTCCATACTCTATTCTACAGTGGCTGCACCAATTTGCATTTCCATAGTGTAGGAGGATTCCTCTTTCTTCACATCCTTGCCAACACGTGTTGTTTCTTGTGTTTTTCATTTTATATGACCATATATGCATGGCTTTATTTTTGGGCTCTCTGTTCTGTTTTGTTGATTTATGTGTCTGTTTTTTTTTTAAGATTTTATTATTAGAAGAGTGAGTGAGTGAGTGGGGGGAGAAGCAGAGGGAGAGGGACAAGCTGACTCTGCACTGAACATGGGGCCTGATGCAGGGCTCAGTCCCACAACCCTGAGGTCATGACCTGAGCCAAAATCAAGAGTCGGATGCTTTACCTACTGAGCCACACAGGCACTCCTATGTGTCTGTTTTTATGCTAATACCATACTGGTTTTTTTTAAGTTTTTATTTAAATTCCAGTTAGTTAACATACAGTATAATAATTAGCTTTAGGTATACAATATAATGATTCAACACTTCCATATAATACCTGGTGCTCATCACAACAACTGCACTCCTTAATCCCCATCACCTATTTAATCGAACCTCCCAGGGTGCCTGGGTGGCTCAGTTGGTTGAGACTCTGACTCTTGATTTCAGCTCAGGTCATGATCTTGTTTGGGGTTGTAGTATTGGCTGCGTTGGGCTCTGTGCTCCACAGGGAGTCTGCTTGGGACTTTTTTCTCCTTCTCCCTCTGCCCCTCTCCCCTTTCAAATAAATGAATAAATAAAATCTTAAAAAAAATAGAAAAAAACCTAACCTTCCATCCACCTCCCATACTATTTTGATTATTATAGTTTTGTCATGTAGTTTGAAATCAGGAAGTGTGATTCTTCCAGCTCTTTTCTTCTTTTTCAAGTTTGCTTTGGCTCTTTGGTAATTATATACAGATTTTAGGTTTGTTCTATTTCTGAAAAATGCAATTGGAAATTTGGTTGGGATTGCATTGACTCTGTAAATTGTTTTGGATAGTGTGATTGATATATATATATATATATATATATATGAAAAAATGTATATTTTTGGTCATTCAGATGACCAAATATGTATTTCTTACATATATTTGATTTCGTCTACTATTCCTGATTCATAGTTTCCAAAATCCTTGGAATATCCTAAGTGCTGAGAATGACAAAGGTATCTCTTGTTATGTTAATGAGGTGACTTTTGGATCCCACATAAAGATGGGGCTAGTTGCCAAGAGAACTAACCATGTGATCAGATGGTTGGAACTTTCACCACTGCCCCTCTCTTCTGGAGGGGAGATGGTCTGGAGGTTGAATCAGTCATCAGTGGCCAATGATTTAATCAGTCACAATTACGTAACTAAGCCTCCATAAAAACCCAAGAGGACAAGGTTAGGAAAGCTTCCAGCTTGGAGAAGAGATTTGGGGAGAGTGGTGAGCTCAGAGAGCATGGAAGCTCCACACCCTTTTCCCATGCCTTGCCCTGTGCATATCTTCTATCTGGCTGTTCCTGAGTTTATATCCTTTTATAATAAACTAGTAATCTAACAAGTATATTGTTTCTTTGAGTTCAGTGAGCTGCTCCAGCAAATTAATCAAACCCAAGGAACCTCAGATTATAGGCAGTCTGTCAGATTCAGGTAACAATCTGAACTTGTGACTGGTGTCTGAAAACTAAGGAGTGAGTCATGGGAACTTTTGATTTATAGCCAGTTGGACAGAAGTACAGGTGAAACCTGGGCTTGCGACTGGTATCTTAAGTGGGGCTAGGGGGACAGTGGTTGTGTAGGACTGAACACTTAACCTGTAGAATCTGAGGCTATCTCCAGGTAGATAGTGTCATAATTGAATTGAATTATGGGACACCCTGCTTGTGTCCCAAGAATTGCTTGTTGGTGTAGAGAATACCCCTCCCCACATTGAAATTGGTATCAGGACCCATTTAGGTAGTGTGGACATTTTAACAATATTCTTCTAATCCATGAGCATGGAATATCTTTCTATTTATTTGCGTCTTCAGTTTCTTTCATTAATGTCTTATAGTTTTTAGTATACAGGTCTTTCACCTCCTCGGTTAAATTTAATCCTAGGAATTTGATTCTTTTTGGTGCAATTGTAAATGGGGATGTTTTCTTAATTTCTCCTTCAGATGGTTCATTATTAGTGTACAGAAATGCAATTGATTTTTGTGTATTGATTTTCTTATCCTGCAAACTTTACTGAATTTGTTTTATTAGTTCTGGTAGTTTCTGGTGGAGTCTTTAGGGTTTTCTATATATAATATGTCATCTGCAAATAGTGAGAGTTTTACTTCTTCCTTTCCAATTTGGATACCTTTATTTATTTTCTTGCCTAATTGCTCTAAGCCTTCCAATACTATGTTTAATAAAAGTGGTGAGAGTGGGCATTCTTGTCTTGTTCTGATCTTAAAGGAAAAGCTTTCAGCTTTTTTACTTTTTACTGTTGAGTATGAGGTTAGCTGTGGACTTGTCATATGTGGCCTTTATTATGTTGAGGTACATTACCTTTATACACACTTTGTTGAGAGTTTTTATCATAAATGGATACTGAATTTTTAAAATTGCTTTATCTGCATCTGTTGAGATGATCAGAGGTCATCTGATGCATGTAATGAAAGCCTAGTCAGAAAATTAACTGTTTAATGTTTTGAGGGTAAGACAGAATATTGCTGGGGTAATTAGTAAATGAAAAGCCAAACCCTCCTTTCTTATTTTTTTTCCCCTTAGGCAAAATATGGAACTATTTACTGAAATGTTATTGTTAGCTACGTGGGTAGAAACTTGTTAATAACAGGAACTATCATTTTAAAGGGAGGAAGTTACTAAATCATCTTGGCTAATAGTACAGTCAACCCATTTTTTTTCACATAATCATTTATGAGTAATGTGATATATATATTAAAATATAAGAATTTCTTTAAGAATTGTAACAATGTTTCATAACTTTTACAAACAACTTTGCTTTGAGATCAGATTACACTTAGGGAGACTCTTTGCTTTCTTTCAGGAATAATGCTACAAGGCATTTATGTAATTTACTCAAGGAAACCTGTGCCAGATCTGCAGAAAAGACAAAGAAATGTAAATATATTTCTTGTTTTATGTGATTTTTATCAATTTATTATTATTGTAATGGTGGGGGTGGAGAAGGGAAGAAATTGTTTTTTCGCTTTTTGGAACCAATTTTGATTTGAACAAGTTATATGTGCCTCATTCATTTTCTTTGCATAAGTAGTAATTTGATTCTCAGTTTTTGAGCTTGGAAAGCTCAAAATTTTTTGAAAGATAATATATTTCAAAAGATACATACCTTGACATGACATTTGTAGTTCTTATTTCAGTTAAAATGTGATCTTGAGACTAACTTTCTCTTTCTGGAACAACTAGCAAATTGAATTGATATATAGCTATGTTCATAATAGAAAATACTGGTAGAGGGCTATGCCGAAGGCACAGTACTTAAGAATAGTACAGTGTTTCTTTTTTTTTTTTTTTAAAGATTTTATTTATTTATTTGAGAGAGAGAAAGAGAGAGAGCACATGAGAGGGGGGAGGGTCGGAGGGAGAAGCAGACTCCCTGCTCAGCAGGGAGCCTGATGCGGGACTCGATCCCGGGTCTCCAGGATCATGACCTGAGCCGAAGGCAGTCGCTTAACCAACTGAGCCACCCAGGCGCCCTACAATGTTTATTTCTAATCTAAATAGAATTTTCAACTTTCTCCTAAAGAAAGAAACATGCTTTTAAAATATTTTACTAAGGTCATGGTATATATATATGAAAGTATTTTCATTTTATGCGTATTTTTATTTTACTTGTAAGAATTTTTTCATTTTGATGAAAAACCTAAAAATCTTATTTTCAAAAATAACAGTTTTATCTTTATCATTAATTTGACACTAGCTCTACTTTGTTTCTTCCAATAATCTATTAGGAAATACTGTCTATCTGCTTTTTCAGGATAGCCCTTATTTTTCTTAGCTAAAATTTTAATATCACACAGCTTACTGCTTATGAGCTTGGGCTTAAGAGTAGACAGCTTATGCTCAAATTCAAACTTTCAGTTGCTGTCTACTTTACCTTGAATAAGTTATATAATCTCTCTGACCCACTGTTTATTGATTAATGAAGTGCCTCTTAGCGTTTTGAGAATTAAATTAATAAATATAAATTGCTTAGAGCAGTGCAAAGTGCTCAGTGTTAGCTATTCTTCTTATTTCCAGTATGCACTATTGCTAGGGTTTTTTATTTTTGATCCCTGCATATTGGAACTATACTTTACATTTGGAACTATAAATACTTACCAAAATGTAGTGCACCACTACCAGCTCCTCCATTAAATCATCCTGTTTACTCAACTTTCAATATTAGCTTTTCCCATCTAGGTATAAAGAATGGTAAAAAGTATACAGATGGGGGTGGGAGGGATCGTGTATTGACTGCTTTGCAGAAAGCAAACTGGGCCTTGGAGACAAGGCTGCTAGTTTTTTTTTCTCTGTTTAGTTTATGCTCTCTAAATCAGATCAGATGGTGGGAGAGGTTTGAAGAATCTTAACAAAATTTTTAGGTGATCTCTTTTTTTCTTTTTTTTTAAAGATTTTATTTATTTATTTCACAGAGATAGCGAGAGCAGGAACACAAGCAAAGGGAGTGGGAGAGGGAGAAGCAGGCTTCCTGCTGAGCAGGGAGCCCGATGCGGGGCTCTATCCCAGGACCCTGGGATCATGACCTGAGCTGAAGGCAGATGCTTAATGACTGAGCCACCCAGGCGCCCCTAGGTGATCTCTTGAATGAACCAATGACCATATCTTGATGAAACATGTATATAGTTTTTCTTTTCTTAAGAAAGTCTTTAGGGGTGCCTGTGTGGCTTAGTCGGTTAAACATCTGACTCTTGATTTTGGCTCAGGTCATGATCTCAGGGTTGTGAGATCGAGCCCCGTGTTGGGCTTCGTGCTGGGTGTGGAGCCTGCTTAAGACTCTCTCTCTCCCTTACTGCCCCTCCTTTCTCTCAAAAAAAAAAAAAAAAGAAGTCTTTGTATTTATTAACCTAAACTCCATCTAGATTCTTTCCTTAAGTCTTTCCTTTGCTATTGTGATTTTTCTGTCTTATTTATTCATTCATCAGTTTTTTTTTTTAAGAGAATTTTTTTTTTTTTTTTTAAGATTTTATTTATTTATTTGAGACAGAGAGAATGAGAGAGAGAGAGCACATGAGAGGGGGAACGATCGGAGGGAGAAGCAGGCTCCCTGCCGAGCAGGGAGCCCGATGCGGGACTCGATCCAGGGACTCCAGGATCATGACCTGAGCCGAAAGCAGTCGCTTAACCAACTGAGCCACCCAGGCGCCCCTGGTTTTTTTTTTTTTTTTTTTTTTTAAAGATTTATTTATTTATTGAGAGACCGGTGGGGGGTGGGGAGAGAAGTCCAGAGGGAGAGAATCCTCAAGCAGACTCCTTGCTGAGCATGGAGCCCCACGTGGGGCTTGATCCTATGATCCATGAGATCACTACCTGAGGCTAAGTTTGCTTAACCGACTGAACCACCCAGGCACCCCTCATTCACCAGTTTATATTTTTATTCATTTATTTATTTTTAAAGATTTTATTTATTTGTCAGAGAGAGAGAGCACAAGCAGGGGGAGCGGCAGGCAGAGGGAGAAGCAGGCTCCCCTCTGAGCAAGGAGCCCAATGTGGGACTCGATCCCAGGACCCTGGGATCATGACCTGAGCCGAAGGCAGGCACTGAACCAACTGAGCCACTCAGGCATCCCACCAGTTTTTATTTTTATTTTTATTTCTTTCTTTTTTAAGATTTTATTAGAGAGCGTGCAAGCGTGAGCCAGGGAAGGGGCAGAGGGAGAGGGAGAAGCAGACTCCCCACTGAGCAGGGAGCCTGAGGTGGGGCTTGATCCCAGGACCCAGAGACCATGACCTGAGCTGAAGGCAGCCACTTAACCCACTGAGCCACCCAGGCGCCCCTCATTCACCAGTTCTTAAAGTGCCTGCTTTGTGTCATGAAATGTTCTGAGTGCTGAGGAAAACGGCAGTGAACAATTTCTGCTCTTAAGAAGTATGCATCCTAGTGGAGGGACACAGACCATAAATAAAAAAAATATATGTATGGTGATGATAACTGCTTAAGGAGAGAGTATTTTGGGATAGGGAGATTGGGGAAGTATTTTAGTGACTAATAAGTGAGGGAGTGAGCCATGTAGCCATTTTGGGAAATAGTAAGTGCAAAGTCCTTTAGATGAAAGCCTGTTTAATCTTTCAAGTCAATGAGGCCACTCTGTTGCACCTTTGATATTTCTTGCCTTGTGTGTATTTTTTATCTTTTTTTTTTTTTTTCGTGCGCCATTCAGGAAAATGTCTTTTAATCTGTCTTCCAGTACAAGAATTCTCTATTTCTAGTCTCTTTCTCTCTCTCTCTCTCTCTCATTTTTCTAGTCTGTTTCTGAATTCATCAGTTGAGGTCTTATTTTTACTGCATTTTTCTGGTTCTGGAATATTGGCTATTTTAAAAAATATCTGTAGTGTCACTTTTTATTTATTTTTTATTTTATTTTTTTAAAGATTTAATTTATTTGAGAGAGTGAGAGAGAGCGAGGACGAGTAGGGAGGGGGAGCAGCAGAGGGAGAGGGAGAAGTAGACTCCCCGGTGAGCAGGGAGCTAATGTGGGACTCAATCCCAGGACCCTGGGATCATGACCTGAGCTGAAGGCAGACACTTAACCAACTGAGCCACCCAGGTGCCCCTGTAGTGTCACTTTTTAGACTTCCAGGTTTGTTGCTGAAATTCTTAAAAATTGACATATAGTTAACAATGTTATGTTAGTTTCAGGTGTATAACATAGTGATTTGATAGGTCTATATATAATGCTATGCTCACCACTAGTGGTCCTTGCTGAAATTCTTAAGTTCAGCTTTTTATCTCCATGAACATAGTAAACATTGTTTTATTAAGGTTTCAATAAAGTTTATTAAAGGGGTCTATTTCTGGTCTGTTCTGTGGATTCTAGGGGTTTGTGTACTTCATTATCTTTGATTATTTGCTTGAGACCTAGAATGATGTCACATTTTCCTAGTTCTTTGAATGTTGAACTGTTTTGGATTATATCTTGGAGATTTTGAAATTATTATGGTGTGAGATTCTGGGTCTTTTATTTTTTTTAAATTTTATTATGTTATGTTAGTCACCATACAATACATCTTTGGTTTTTGATGTGGTGATCCACGATCCATTGTTTTCGTATAACACCCAGTGCTCCATGCACTGCGTGCCCTCCTTAATACCCATCACCGGGCTAACCAATCCCCCCTGCTTCTAAAACCCTGTTTGTTTCTCAGAGTCCATAGTCTCTCATGGTTCATCTCTCCCTCCAATTCCTCCCCCATTTTTCCCTCCCTTCTCCTAGTGTCCTCCATGTTATTCCTTATGTTCCACAAATAAGTGAAACCATATGATAATTGACTTTCTCTGCTTGACTTCTTTCACTTAGCATAATCTCCTCCAGTCCCATCCATGTTGATGTAAAAGTTGGGTATTCATCTTTTCTGATGGCTGAGTAATATTCCATTGTATATATGGACCCCATCTTCTTAATCCATTCATCTATTGAAGGGCATCTCGGCTCTTTCCACAGTTTGGCTATTGCGGACATTGCTGCTATGAACATTGGGGTGCATATGGCCCTTCTTTTCACTACATCTGTGTCTTTGGGGTAAATACCCAGGAGTGCAATTGCTGGGTCATAGGGTAGCTCTATTTTTAATTTTTTGAGGCTCCTCCACACTGTTTTCCAAAGTGGCTGTACCAACTTGCATTCCCACCAATGGTGTAAGAGGGTTCCCCTTTCTCCACAACCTCTCCAACATTTGTTGTTTCTTTCCCTGTCCATTTTTGCCATTCTAATTGGTGTAAGGTGGTATCTCAGTGTGGTTTTGATTTGAATTTCCCTGATGGCTAATGATGATGAACGTTTTTTCATGTGTCTGTTAGCCATTTGTATGTCTTCTTCACAGAAGTGTCTTTTCATATCTTCTGCCCACTTTTTGACTTGATTATTTGTTTTTTGGGTGTTGAGTTTGAGAAGTTCTTTATAGATCTTGGATACCAGCCCTTTATCTGTAGTGTCATTTGCAAATATCTTCTCCCATTCTGTGGGTTGCCTCTTTGTTTTGTTGACTGTTTCCTTTGCTGTGCAGAAGCTTTTTATCTTGATGAAGTCCCAAAAGTTCATTTTTGCTTTTGTTTCACTAGCTTTTGGAGATGTATCTTGAAAGAAGTTGCTGTGGGCGATGTCAAAGAGGTTACTGCCTATGTTCTCCTCTAGGATTTTGATGGATTCCTGTCTCACATTGAGGTCTTTCATCCACTTTGAGTTTATCTTTGTGAATGGTGTTAGAGAATGGTCGAGTTTCATTCTTCTGCATGTGGCTGTCCAATTTTCCCAGCACCATTTATTGAAGAGACTGTCTTTTTTCCATTGCATGTTTATTCCTGCTTTGTCAAAGATTATTTGACCATAGAGCTGAGGGTCCATATCTGGGTTCTCTATTCTGTTCCATTGGTCTATATGTCTGTTTTTGTGCCAGTACCATGCTGTCTTGGTGATCACAGCTTTGTAATATAGCTTGAAATCGGGCAACGTGATGCCCCCAGCTTTGTTTTTCTTTTTCAACATTTCCTTGGTGATTCAGGGTCTTTTCTGATTCCATACAAATTTTAGGATTGTTTGTTCCAGCACTTTGAAAAATGTCATTGGAATTTTGATCGAGATGGCATTGAAGGTATAGATTGCTCTGGGTAGCATAGACATTTTAACAATGTTTATTCTTCTGATCCATGAGCATGGAATATCTTTCCATCTTTTTGTGTCTTCTTCAATTTCTTTCATGAGTGTTCTGTAGTTCCTAGAGTACAGATCCTTTACCTCTTTGGTTAGATTTATTCCGAGGTATCTTATGGTTTTTGGTGCTATTGTAAATGGAATCGTTTCTCTAATTTCTCTTTCTACAGTTGCGTTGTTAGTGTATAAGAAAGCAACTGATTTCTGTGCGTTGATTTTGTATCCTGCCACATTACTGAATTGCTGTATGAGTTCTAGTAATTTGGGGGTAGAGTCTTTTGGGTTTTCCACATAAAGTATCATGTCGTCTGTGAAAAGAGAGAGTTTAACTTCTTCTTTGCCAATTTGAATACCTTTTCTTTTTGTTGTCTGCTTGCTGTTGCCAGGACTTCTAGTACTATGTTGAACAATAGTGGCGAGAGTGGGCATCCTTGACGTGTTCCTGATCTTAAGGGAAAGGCTCTCAGCTTTTCCCCATTGAGGATGGTACTCGCTGTGGGTTTTTCATAGATGGATTTTATGAACTTGAGGAATGTTCCCTCTATCCCTATACTCTGAAGGGTTTTAATCAGGAAAGGATGTTGTATTTTGTCAAATGCTTTTTCTGCATCAATTGAGAGGACCATATGGTTCTTCTCCCTCCTCTTATTAATGTGTTCTATCACATTGATTGATTTGCGAATGTTGAACCACCCTTGCATCCCGGGGATAAATCCCACTTGGTCGTGGTGGATGATCCTTTTAATGTATTGTTGGATCCTATTAGCTAGGATTTTGTTGAGGATTTTGGAATCCATATTCATCAGATATATCGGTCTGAAATTCTCCTTTTTGATGGGGTCTTTGCCTGGTTTGGGGATTAAGGTAATGCTGGCCTCATAGAATGAGTTTGGAAGTTTTCCTTCTGTTTCTATTTTTTGAAACAGCTTCAGTAGAATAGGTATTATTTCTTCTTTGAATGTTTGGTAGAATTCCTCAGGGAATCCATCAGGCCCTGGACTCTTGTTTTTTGGGAGGTTTTGATCACTGCTTCAATCTCGTTACTTGGTTATTGGCCTATTCAGGTTGTCAGTTTCTTCCTGTTTCAGTCTTGGCAGCTTATAGGTTTCGAAGAAGGCCTCCATTTCATCCAGATTGCTCAGTTTATTGGCATATAGTTGTTGATAATAATTTCTAATAATTGTTTCTATTTCCTTGGTGTTAGTCGTGATCTCTCCCCTTTCATTCATAATTTTATTAATTTGGGTCCTTTCTCTTTTCTTTAGGATAAGTCTGGCCAGTGGTTTATCGATCTTATTAATTCTTTCAAAGAACCAACTTCTAGTTTTGTTGATCCGATCTACTGTGTTTCTGGTTTCTAATTCATTGATTTCTGCTCTAATTTTAATTATTTCTCTTCTGATGCGTGGCTTAGGTGTCGTTTGTTGCTTTTCCTCTAGTTCTTTAAGGTGTAGAGTTAGTTGGTGAATTCGGGATTTTTCTATTTTTTTGAGTGAGGCTTGATGGCTATGTATTTCCCCCTTAGGACCACCTTTGCAGTATCCCATAGGTTTTGGACCGATGTGTTTTCATTTTCACTGATTTCCATGAATTGTTTAAGTTCTTCTTTGATTTCTTGGTTGACCCAAACATTCTTGAGCAGAATGGTCTTTAGCTTCCAAGTGTTTGAATTTCTGCCAAATCTTTTCTTGTAATTGAGTTCCAGTTTTAGAGCATTGTGGTCTGAGAATATGCAGGGAATAATCTCAATCTTTTGGTATCGGTTGAGACCTGATTTGTGACCCAGTGTGTGGTCTATTCTGGAGAAAGTTCCATGTGCGCTCGAGAAGAATGAGTATTCTGTTGTTTTGGGTGGAATGTTCTGTAAATATCTCTGAGGTCCATCTGGTCCAATGTATCGTTGAAAGCTCTTGTTTCCTTGTTGATTTTCTGCTTAGATGATCTGTCCATTGCTGAGAGTGGAGTATTGAGGTCTCCTACAATTAACGTATTGTTATCAATATGACTCTTTATTTTGGTTAACAGTTGGCTTATATAGATGGCTGCTCCCATGTTGGGGGCATAGATATTTACAATTGTTAGATCTTCTTGTTGGATAGACCCTTTAAGAATGATATAGTGTCCTTCTGTGTCTCTTATTACAGACTTTAGTTTAAAATCTAATTTGTCTGATATAAGAATTGCTACCCCAGCTTTCTTTTGAGGTCTGCTGGCATGGAAGATGGATCTCCATCCCTTCACTTTCAGTCTGGATGTATCTTTAAGTTCAAAATGAGTCTCTTGTAGGCAGCATATGGATGGGTCCTGTCTTTTCATCCAGTCTGCAACCCTGTGCCATTTTATGGGAGCGTTTAGGCCATTCACGTTGAGGATGATTATTGAAAGATATGAATTAATTGTCATCATGTTGCCTGTGAAGATGTTGTTTTTATAGATTGTCCCTGTAAATTTCTGTTGTATATCACTCTTGGGGTCTTTCTCCTTTCATAGAACCCCCCCTTAATATTTCTTGCAGGGCCGGCTTAGTGGTCACATATTCTTTCAGTTTCTGCCGGTCGTGGAAGCTCTGCATCACTCCATCCATTCTAAATGAAAGCCTTGTTGGATAAAGTATTCTTGGCTGCATGTTCTTCTCATTTAGTGCCCTGAATATGTCTTGCCAGGCCTTTCTGGCTTGCCAGGTCTCTGTGGATAGGTCTGATGTTATTCTGATGTTCCTCCCTCTGTACATAAGGAATCTCTTCCCCCTAACTGCCCTTAAGAGGGTTTCCTTGGTTCTAAGATTTGCAAGTTTTACTATTACATGCCGGGGTGTTGGCCTGTTTTCCTTGATCTTGGGAGGGGTCCTCTCTGCCTGTAGGAGTCGAATGTTTGTTTCATTCCCCAGATTAGGGACGTTGTCAGCTACGATTTGCTCAAATACATCTTCTAGTCCTCTCTCTCTCTCCACTCCCTCCGGGACTCCAATTATTCTGACACTGGAACACTTCATGGTGTCACTTATGTCTGATTCTATTTTCATGGATTCTGAGTTGTTTTTCCCTGGCCTCCTCTTTTCCCTTTTTATCTATTATATTGTCTTCCAGGTCGCTTATTCACTCTTCTGTCTCAGTTACCCTAGCTTTAGATTATCTAGATTGGATTGGATCTCATTGATAGCATTTTTAAGTTCTGCCAATTCAGCTTTCATTTCTGCCCTTAGAGACTCTATGTTGCCATTAATTGATTTCTCCATTCTAGGCATTGTCTTCACAATTGCTAGCCTGAATTCCATCTCCGACATCTTGGTTATGTCTGCATCCATTTGTAAATCTGCAGCATAAGTCATAATCTCTGAGTCTTTTCTATTTTGGGGGCTCCTCCTCCTAGTCATTCTGTTGATGGGTGTTTGAGGGAATGTATAGAGTCCAAATTATGGACCAGAACCCAAGCAAGATGCACCTGTTTTCTTGGGACCTTAGGGTTGCTGGCCTCTCGTTTTCCCAGCCTGTCTTCTGGGGGAGGGGCCTGCCGCGCTGTTACTCAGGCAACCCTGTTCAGTCGGAGTTGCCCTGCCTGCCTGTGGCGGGGGGTGGGCTCAGCGGGAATCAGTTTTGGGGGCTTTTGTTCTCTGGCAGCTTTCCCTGGTGGCCCTCTGCGTTTCTTCCGTGAGTCAGAGCAGAAGAGACCGTTTCCAACCCTCTGCCTCAGAGCACAGAGACCGCAGTCTGTTCTTCAGTGAGCTCTCCAGGTCACACCGTCTCGTTTCTGTCCGTGCTGCTATAAACTGCAGCGACCTAGGTTGTGCGCCCCTCCGCAGTGCCCCCAGTCCTGCCTCCAGGTCGGGGCATGTCTCTGCCCTTTGTGCTTCTAAAACTGCCAGCTGCTCCCAGTTCATACGCGCGACCCCGCCGCTCCGGGTTTCTGTCCCCGGGGGCTGTCCTAGAGTCCTTTCCCCGCCGCTGCCGGTCTGCGAGTCTGTGCCCCATCCCCAGTGTGTGAGGCTGTCGCTCACCAGTGGTGTAGGATCCCCACGGCCAGGCACCCTCCCGCTGCCGTTTATCCTCCGATATCTGCCCGTGGAATCATGGCTCCCTGCTTCGTACCTCGAAACCAACCACCTGTGATATTCTGTTTGTAGAGATCCAGTCTTCTTACATCTCAGGCTGGTTTCGTGGGTGCTCAGAGTGGTCTGGTAGATATCCAGCTCAATTCCAGGGACCAGTTGAAATAGGGTCCCTTACTCCTCCTCCATCTTTCCTAGTTCCATATCAGTAGACTTTTAAGTGAGCACTGAGTGTTATACACAACTAATGAATCATTGAACACTACATCAAAAACTAATGATGTAATATATGTTGGCTAATTGAACATAATAAAAAAATAAAGTTGTATCTATATTTTATGAGTGAATTTATTTCTCTGTAAACTAAATATATGTGAAACAGCATTTTCACTGTTTTGAGAAATATATGGATACACTATAAATTTCATGGTTTTTTTTTTAGGAGTCTGAATTGTTTAATCTCAAAAATGAACTTTTGTCTGTTAAGAAACAACTTGAAATAGAAAAAGAAGAAAAGGTAGGTTTTGTGGCATTATAGATAAAGTAATAACATTTATGTGCAACTTTCTGGGTTTTTTTAATTTAAATTTTTTTACTGAAGTATAACTGCCACTTTGTTTTTATAAACATGTCATATTAGAAAATATATTTGGGTAACTATGATTAAAACATATAATTTTCCCCCCATTAGCTTTTTTTCAGAAGTATATAGTGTATTCCTTTGTTTAAATATTGGACATATATATGTTACAAATTTAAATTGTGCAGCATGATTTCACCTGTATATATTGTGAAATGATGACCACAGTACATTTAGTTAATATCCATCATTTCACAAAAATGCAAAAAAGAAAAAAAATGTTCTTTTCCTTGTGATGAGAACTCTTAGCATTTACTCTCTTAACTCTCAAATATACCATATAGCAGTGTTAACTATAGTCATTGTGTTGTAAATTACATCCTTAGTACTTATTTATCTTATAACTTGAAGTTTGTACCTTTGACCACCTTTATCTAATTCTCCAACCCCCACACCTCTGCCCCTGGTAATCACAAATCTGATCTCTTTTTCTATGAGTTCTTTTTTTAATTTTAGATTCAACTTATAAATAAGCACATACAAGTATTTGTCCTTCTCTGTCTGACTTAAGTCATTTAACATAATGTTCTCAAGATCCATTCATGTTATTGCAAATGGCAGGATTTCCTTCTCTTTATGGCTGAATAATATTTCATTTTGTGTGTGTATGTGTATCACGCTTACTTTATCCGTTAATCTGTTGGTATCACTTAGTTGTTTCTTTATCTTGGCCATTGGAAATAATGCTGTAGTGAACACGTGGGTGTAGATACCTCTTCAGCATAGTGTTTTTGTTTCTTTTGGATATATTCCCAGAAGTGGAATTACTGAACCATATGGTAGTTTTATTATTAATTTTTTGAAGAACCTCATACTGTTTTCCATAGTGGCTTTACCAGTTTATAATCCCACCAACAGTGCAAAAGGGTTTTCTTTCCTTTTTTGTTTTTGTTTTTTGTTGTTGTTGTTTTAAGTTTTTACTTATATTCTAGTTAGTTAACATATAGTGTTATATGGGTTTCAGGAATAGAATTTAGTGATTCATCACTTACATAAACACCCAGTGCTCATCACAACAAGTGCCCTTCTTAATATATATCATCCATTTCGCCCATCCCCAACCCGCCTCCCCTCCAGCAACTGTCAGTTTGTTTTCTGTAGTTAAAAGTCTGTTTTATGGTATACCTCTGTTTTCTTCCCCCCATGTTCATCTGTTTTATTTCCTAAATTTCACATATGAGTGAAATCATATGGTATTTGTCTTTCTCTGAGTGACTTATTTTGCTTAGCATAATACGCTCTTGCAAATGGCAAGATTTCATTCTTTTTGATGGCTGAGTAATATTCCATTGTATATATATACAACATCTTCTTTATCCATTCATCAGCTGATGGACACTAGGGCTGTTTCCATAATTTGGCTATCATTGATAGTGCTGCTGTAAACATCAGGGTGCATATGTCTCTTCAAATCTGTATTTTTGTTTCCTTTGGGTAAATACATAGTAGTGCAATTGCTGGATCATAGGATAGATCTATTTTTAACTTTTTGAGGTACCTCCTTACTGTTTTCCAGAGTGGCTCTACCAGTTTGCATTCCCATCAACAGTGTAAGAGGGTTCCCCTTTCTCTGCATCCTCACGAACATCTGTGGTTTCCTGTGTTAATTTTAGACATCCTGACAGGTGTGAGGTGATATCTCATTGTAGTTTTGATTTTCCTTTCCTTGATGATGAGTGATGTTGAGCATCTTTTCATGTGTCTGTTAGCTATCTGGATGTCTTCTTTGGAAAAATGTCTATTCATGTCTTCTGCCCATTTTTTAACTGGATTATTTGTTTTTGGGGTGTTGAATTTGTAAGTTCTTTATAGATTTTGGATACTAACCCTTTATCAGATATGTCATTTGCACATATCTTCTCCCATTCCATAGGCTGGCTTTTAGTTTTGTTAATTGTTTCCTTCACTGTGTAGAAGCTTTATATATTGATGAAGTCTCAATAGTTCAGTTTTGCTTTTGTTTCTCTTGCCTCCAGCAACGTGTCTAGTAAGTTGTTGCTATGGCTGAGGTCAAAGAGGTTGCTACCTGTATCCTCCTCTAGGATTCTGATAGTTTCCATCTTACATTTAGGTTTTTCATTCATTTTGAATTTATTTTTGTGTATAGTGTAAGGAAGTGGTCCAATTTCATTCTTCTGCATGTTGCTCTCCAGTTTTCCCAACACCATTTGTTGAAGAGATTGTCTTTTTTCCATTGGATATTCTTAACCTCTTTGTCGAAGATTAGTTGACCATATGGTTGTGGGTCCATTTCTGGGTTTTCTATTCTGTTCCATTGATCTATGTATCTGTTTTTGTGCCAGTACCATACTGTCTTGATGACTACCACTTTTTAATATAGCTTGAAGTCTGAAATTTGATGCTTCCAGCTTTGCTTTTCTTTTTCAAGATTGCTTTGGCTGTTGGGGTGTTGTAGTTCCATACAAATTTTAGGATTGTTTGTTCTAGATGTGGGACAAATGCTGATGGTATTTTGATAGGGATTGCATTAAATGTATAGATTGCTCTGGGTAGTATAGACATTTTAACAATATTTGCTCTTCCAACTCATGAGCAAGGAATGTATTTCCATTTCTTTGTGTCATCTTCAGGTTCTTTCATAAGTGTTTTTTTTTTGTTGTTTTTTTTTTTCAGAGTATAGATCTTTTACTTCTTTGGTTAGGTTTATTTAGTATCTTCTTGGTTTTGGTGCAATTATAAATGGGATCAATTCCTTGGTTTCTCTTTTTGCTATTTCATTATTGGTATGTAGAAATGCAGCATATTTCTGTACACTGATTTTTGTATCCTTTGACTTTACTGAATTCGTATATCAGTCCTAGCAAGTTTTTGGTGGAGTCTTTTGGGTTTTCTGCATAGAGTATCCTGTCTTCTGTGAATAGTGTAAGTTTGACTTCTTCCTTGCCAATTTGGATGCCTTTTATTTTTTGTTGTTGTTGTTGTTGTTGTCTGATTACTGAGGCTAGGACTTCTAGTAGTATGTTAAATAACAATGGTGAGAGTGGAGATCGCGGTCTTCTTCCTGACTGTAGAGGGAAAGCTCTGAGTTTTTCCTCATTGAGGATGATATTAGCTGTGGGTCGTACATATATAGCCTTTATGATGTTGAGGTATATTCCCTCTACCCCTGCCTTTGTGAGGGTTTTTATCAGGAATGGATGCTGTACTTTGTCAAATGCTTTTTCCACATCTATTGAGAGGATCATATGGTTCTTATCCTTTCTTTTATTAATGTGGTGTATCACATTGATTGATTTGCAAATATAGAACCACCCTTGCAGCCCAGAAATAAATCCCACTTAATCATGGTGAATGATTCTTTTAATGTACTATTGGATTCGATTTGATAGTATCTTGTTGAGAATTTTTGCATCCATGTTCATCAGGGATATTGGCCTATAATTTTTTAGTGGGGTCTTTGTCTGGTTTTGAAATCAAGGTAATGCTGGTCTTGTAGAATGAGTTTGGAAGTTTTCCTTCCTTTTTAATTTTTTGGGACAGTTTGAGAAGAATAGGTATTAACTTTTCTTTAAATGTCTGGTGGAATTCCCCTGGGAAGCCATCTGGCCCTGGACTTTGTGTGTTGGGAGATTTTTGATTATTGATTCAGTTTCTTTGCTAGTTAGCAGTCTGTTCAAGTTTTCTATTTATTCCTGTTTCAGGTTTGGTAGTTGATATATTTCTAGGATTTTATTGATTTCTTCTAGATTGCCCAATCTGTTGGCATATAATTTTTCACAATATTCTCTTATAATTGTTTGTATTTCTGTGGTGTTGGTTGTGATCTCCCCTCTTTCATTGGTGATTTTATTTATTTGGGTCCTTTCTCTTTTCTTTTTGTTAGGTCTGGGTAGGGGTTTATCAATTTTATTAATTCTTTCAACAACCAGCTGCTAGTTTTATTGATCTGTTCTACTGGGGTTTGTTGTTGTTGTTGTTGTTGTTGTTGTTGTTGTTTCTGTATCATTTATTTCAGTTCTAATCTTTATTATTTCCCTTCTTCTGCTGGTTGTGGGCTTCATGTATTGTTCTTTTTTTTAGCTCCTTTAGGTGTAAGGTTAGGTTGTTTTGAGATTTTTCTTCTTGAGGTAAGACTGTATTGCTATATACTTCCCTCTTATGACCACTTTGCTGCATCCCAAAGGTTTTGGACCATCGTGTTTTCATTTTCATTTGTTTCCATGTATTTTTTTTATTTCTTCCTTAATTTCTTGGTTAACCCATTCATTCTTTAGTAAGATGTTCCTCAACCTCCATGTATTTGTGGTCTTTCCAAATTTTTTTTTTGTGGTTGACTTTAAGTTTCATAGTGCTGTAATCAGAAAATATGCATGGTTTGATCTCAGTCTTTATTTGTGACCCAGTATGTGATCTGTTCTGGAGAATGTCCCATGTGCACTCAAAAAGAATGTGTATTCTACCACTTTAGGATGAAATGCTCTCTTTATTCTGTTTAGTCCATCTGATTCAATGTGTCATTCAAAGCCATTGTTTCCTTGTTGATTTTTTCTGCTTAGATGATCTGTCCATTGCTGTAAGTTAAAGTCTCCTACTATTATTGTATTATCAGTGAGTTCCTTTATGTTTGTTATTAATTGATTTATATATTTGGGTGCTCCCAAGTGGGGGGCATAAATATTTATAATTGTTAAATAATCTTGTTAGATTGTCCCCTTTATTATTATATAGTGCCCTTCTTCATCTCTTGTTATAGTCTTTGGTTTAAAATCTAGTTTGTCTGATATAAGTATGGCTATGCCAGCTTTCTTTTGACATTTGTTAGCATGATAAATGGTTCTCCATCCCCTTGCTTTCCACCTACAGGTGTTTTTAGGTCTAAAATGAGTCTCTTGTTGGCAGCATATAGATGAACTTGT